TTGAGTTACCCTTGGGAAGGAGTGCTGCTGATCTGCAGCTGTATTTGTGAGTAACAAATAAACTTTTGCTGTGATAAGCCATTGAAATTTGGGGATTGCTTGTTCCATCCACTCACATAAATTACATCTGTCTACTTCCTTATCAGTTATGATGGAACCTTAGTGTTCCTGCTTTTTCAAAAATCTGTCTTATCCACTAGATTACATTTTGATAGGACAGGGGCAATGTCTTTCTTGCTTACAACTACCGTATATTCACGATAAGCCACAAAATCGTCTTTAGGTAATAAAAGCTCACATATATAGTTCTTACTATATTCCCTTCCTTTTTGTTTAGCCTCCAGATACTTCCAGTAGGAGTCAAATGAAAGTCATGATGCTACGGGTTGTGAAGGGAAAGTAGTATCACCAAGTGCTGTTGAACAGACTTAAGTCGGGCCGTTCATTTGATGGGTATTTATTGAGTGTCTTTTAGAGCTATTATGAGCATAAAATATGGTAAAACGTGATATGCTTAGAAAATTACATGGAACTGCTCAATAGTATCAGTTAGTAGCAGAGTAGCAACTAATTACTTATTCTGTAAAATAGTACTGTAGGTGCAGTGGAGGCTGTAGAGGTGTGTATACACAGCATTCATGTGCCCATAGGAACTTGAAATTCTTAGACTTTCCAGCCTTAACACTTACTCTGGCCCATGTAACTGAATGATTCGGTTTAGTTGAAGATATTCATAGGTCAAGTGTGAAGCTGGTTCTATGCTCCAGAGAAGTAACTTGTGCCTGTCCCTCTAAAAAGAAAAATGGAAGATCAGATGAGATGTGGTCTATTAAAATGCCTTGGTAACTGTGGGATGCTGCACAATACTGCTGGGTGGATGTGGGCAGTGTCCTGGCTACTTGGCCTGAGTGGAAGATGCTATCATTGCTACTAGTTCTCCGGCTGGCCAGAATGCATGTGTCAAGGATTGTCTTCCCTTTTAAGCTGTCCCATTAATTGCTGTTTCCTGAGTATCTGATTTTGCACATAGAAATGAACGGTTACGTCTTCCAGTCTTAAGGCGTCTGTTTTCCCTCCAGCTTGGGTAGGCTCCCGTGACCCATAAGTACTTTCAATATCTTTCTTAAAGTCCTTTAATTACATGTTTACAATATGTTTTTAAATTACAAAGACCACACAGTACATAATTCCATTCCCCCCACCTCCACCACCTCCACAAAAAGAAAAGAGCTAGTCTATTACACATGAAGACTTTCTATTTAAATACCAAAGTCTTTTAAATCTTGTATGCAGCATCTTCAGATGGAGGGATCACCGATTCCACACATGAGAGGAAATCAGATTGGGCCTGTGTTACTTAGAAAAATTGAAGACAAAGGGGCTTGGAACTTGGGTTATTCAGATAATTACCTATTTCCTGACATCACGTAATGCTTTCTGGACCTGAGCTTCAACTCTTTTGTGATTTTTTTTTTCCAGCTCTGAAATTTGAACAAATTCATCCATTTAGATTTTTTTTCTATTTGATTCAGATATTTGCTCCCTGTCTGAGAAATTACGTGCCAGCTTGCTGCCGGAAGCACCTTTCACAGCTGTTATAAATATCTGGGAAAAAGTAGGGGAGGATTAAATCGAAGATTGCAGTACCATTCCTCCCAGTGCCAAGGCAGTCCTGGAGGTTCAGATAATGATATCTCACATTTATAGTTTAGATCTTGAGCCCACTGAGCTAGGAGTGGATCCAACTTCTTATACCTTCTACAAAGCATTTAAAGACTTGGATGGCTATTTAGTGATAACATCTATTATTAATTAAATTATTTTTTATTGGAAAGTATTGTGATTTTTAAAATAACTTTATTCTTGGATCACACATGGGTGACTGGTAAATGTGCCTTGTAATTATCTAGCATATTTTCGTCATCTGAGTTTTGTAAGTCACAAGGTGCCAATGATTCTGCCCAAGGGTTCCTGTTTTGCAGACCAAAAATAAATTGTTTTGATTTCATGAGTAAGCAGGTAGAGCAGGGCGATCTGTGTGAGGTTTTCTGGTTACTGCTCTGAAAGTGGGTTTCCGTGAGAGGCAAGGTCATAGTGTGAGGATGTGAGTCTCTGTGCCCTGGAGGTGGGCAGAGCGCACCCGAGAGATGCTGAAGCAGCCTTCCCATCCATCAACTGAGAGAGGATGAGGCACACGGGAGAGAGTATGGACCCTGCTGAAGAGGCACAACGGCCCAGAAGGGGAACAAGGATAGCAGCTTGATATCTTGCTCTTTTTCAGCTTTTGTTAGGGCCAGTCTTGTGTAGAAAGGACAGCAAAACTGACATGTGTAGGAAGCTTGTTTGTGGTAATATCAGGACTGTAGCCCAGCTCTACTGGCCTCTAGACTTGAGTGACGTCTACCAGACACTACTGCCTGGTAGACTGGCTTCACTGTTTGATAGGGGAAACTAGCAGATCTAATTCCAAGAGGTTCTCAAGAGGCAGCGAAACTTTGCCTAATCATACAAAGTAAACTAACTCTTCCAAAACAAACGCATTTGTTCATTCTTTCATGCATTCAACATGTATTTATTGAACATCTACCATATGCCAGTCACTGCTCTGCATACTGTGAAATAGCTTTGACCATGAACAATTCAAGTCCTGCCCTCATGGAGGTTACATTCTGGTGGAGAAACATAAGGAATAAAGAAGTAGGCAAATATGTCAATAAAATAATTTCACAAGAAAGGTTACAAAGAAAATAAAAAATAAAACAGAGTAATGAAGGGGGTGGAGGTGGTAGATGAATATAGTGGTGGAAGGTGGAAAATAATTCAGGTGTTTCCACTTAATAATAAACAGATGCTACCTTCTAGAAAATGTCTGTAGGTTATAAAAGAAGCCATTCAAAGTAAACAGTAAGCTCAGGAGATAGAAACATCAATGAAGGAATTTAAAGATTTCTTTCCAGAATATTAAGTACTACTTTTCTATTGCTTTAAAAAATTAGCACTTTTATTATAGAAGTAGCACATTTGTTGAAAATAATTAGACCATATAGTAGACCGTGAAGAAGAAAATAAAATTACCCTAAAACCCACCCCTAAAATTTTAATATTTATCTTCCATTTGCTAGGCATATAAAGATATGATTTTTACATAACGCTGATTTGAAACCAGCTTTTATGAACTAGCAGCATGTCATGAACATCTTTTGACATTAATTAATGCATAACTGCATCATTGCTTATCCTGGCTGGGAGGTATTCCACTGAAGAAGTGTACTCAAATTTATGAAACCAAGTCCCTGTTTTTGAGCACTTGTTTCTAGCTGTTTACTTTTATAAACAAAGCTTAATGAATATCCTTGTATCTGTATCTGTGCACATTTGTTTAATCATTTCTTTAGGGAAAATGCCTAACAGTGGAATTGCTAGGTCAGAAAGTCTGCAGTTTTATGTACAGGTTTTGAATTACATTGCACAAATTTCTATGAGAGAGGCTTTGTGAATTTACACCAGCAGTGGACAAATATTCTTTTCTCCACATATGGGCCAGTTCAGAATAGTAAGAAATACAGTAATAAGCAAAAAGAGGTGAACTGTTAATTTGTTTTTGTCTTATTGCTGGTGAGATTTATAATTTTTAAAACTTTTTACTGGCTTTTCACATGTTTTCCTTTTCACATGTCTTTTGCTAATTGTTAAAATTGTTAAAAGTGTCCATTTTTTCCCTTACTGACTTGCAAGACCTCTTTATGTAGCCATTTTTTTCAAGTGCGTACCATGTGGGAGGCACCTTTGCAGGATCTAGGAATAGATTGATGAACAAGGAAATATTGTCTCTTTTTTTAAACAGTCTTTCCCAGTTTATTCTTTGTTCTTTAATTTTTGTGAGTAGAATTTTTTGGAGGTTAAAAGTGTCCTGATTTTCCTACATGGTTTCATCTTGCAGTGCCATGTTAAAAAGCCCTGCCCAACTTCAAGATTATAAAAACTAGTTAGCTATTAGTTGAATAATTTATCTTTTCCCCACAGATTTGAAATGCCATCTTTATCATACACTAAATTCTGAAATACACATAGAGCTGCTTTGGGATTTTCTACTTGATTTCACTGATGTGTCTATGTTGGCACCAATGTCAAATGATTCTAAGCATTGTGGCTTTATAACACATTGGAATATCTGCTAAGGAAAATCCCAACTTATCACTGTTCATGTTCAAAATATTTTTGCATGTTTATTCTACCAGAAGTTTATCAAGCTCCAAAAGGAAATTGCACTGGATTTTCAGAAGGTTTGAGTTACATTTAAAGATTAATTTGCAGAGAATCTGTACAGCATTAGGTATTCTTACCACAGGAACACAACTTCTCTGTATTCAAGTCTGCTTATATGATACTCAGTAAAGTTTAATATTTTTCATTTAAAAGTTCCTGCATATTTTTTTGTCCAGTTCATTCCTAGACATTTTATATCTTTGGTTGCTACTGTGAATAAGATCACTTTACCATTATATTTTTTAACTGATCATAATTGGTAGGTAGGAAAATTGCTGATTCACCTATTGATTCATTGCTAGCCTTCTTAATGATGTATCTTACTAGCAGCCACAATTACAAATACTTAATCACTGGTGCAGCCTGAGAACCAACCAGTCAGCACAGATTCTGGTTGTGAATGGTTTGTTACAGACTTTCTATGGCATAGCAGCTGAATACTAACCCAGATGTCAGTTCTAATCCTTTTTCAGAAAAATCTCTTTTTTCCAATATCTTTCGTAAGTGAGTAACCATAACATCCATAATTTCTGGCCATTTTTCTTCCTCCTTTACAATATTTTGTTTTAGTGTTTAATTTCATTAACTAGAAAGGCAAGATAATCTTAAGTAGAAGTGGCGATAATGGAAATATTTATATTACTCCTGATTTTATTAGAAAAGTTTGTCAGGAGTAGATACTTCTGTAAATAATATTGAGGAAAATCTAACCTATTAATATTTTTTTTAATTAGGAATTGATGGTGAATTTCATCACATTCCCTACCTCCACCCTCTATCAAGATGGATTGTCTCCTCTGTCCTATTAATAAGGTAACATATTAATCCATTTCCAAGTTGAACCATCATATTCATCAACCCTACTTGGTCACAATGAATAACCTTTGTGTTATATGCCTGAATTTCATTTATTAATATTTTATTTAGTATGTTTATAACTAATAGGCATAAGTGTGATTGGTTAAACAATTGTTTTTTTCTTGTGCTTTGACAGGTTTTGGTAAAAAGATTGGTTTTGTTTTATAAAATATATTGATATGCATTTGGATACTGTGTGATTTGGTGCATACAAGACTTTTATACATTTATTTTACTTCGTAGCCTTTATAAAAATAAAATAATCCTTTTTGTCCCTTTCAATATTTTACTTTGTCCCATTTAATATTTTACTTTGAACTCTCTTTCTATGATGTTGATATTGCAACCTCTGAATTATGTTTTCCTTGTATTACCTGATCTATCTTTATCCAACCTTTTATTTTTAACATTTGTGAGTTGTTCTTTCTTTGGAGGGCATGGAGAAAGATTTTATTTTTGACATAATTTACTCTCTATTTTAAGAGATTTAACTCTTATGAAAGACCATTTTTGTTTTGCAAAATGTGCTATATTAATTTGAATTACTAGACTGATAGATACAGTAGTTGTTGAGGTTTTCCCAAGCAAATGGCTGCCTTGTAGAATAGGCATAAATAACGTGGCAAGTTGTATGAATTATGCTGTTGAGCCGGTAAGACGAGGACGTATGTGATAGACAGGTCTAGGACAGGTATGTATGGTAAGTAGCCTTCAATGTACCAGTATCAACGGCCCCACCTCTTATATTCACACCCTGTGTGAATCCTCTTCCCCACAGTGCAGCTGGACCAAGTGATGGCATCTAATCAATAGAATAAGGCAAAAATGTTGAGATATCACTTCTGAGATTTAGTTATGTAGAAACCGTGGCTTCCATCTTGCACTCCCTTTCTTGCTCTCTTGATGGCTTGCTTTGAGAAAAGCCAGCTGCCATGTTGTGAGCTATGTTATGGAGGAATTCCATGTGGTACAAGAATGGGGAACTACTTTCTGACAGCAACAACCTGAGTGAGCTTGGGTGCAGAATCTCCCTCAGACAAGCCTTCGGATGGGACCACACATCCAGCCAACACCCTGATTTCAGTCTTCTGAGAGACTCTGAACCCTGCTAAGCTGTATCTGAATTCCTGACCCACAGAGACTATGAGATAATAGATGTTTTCTGTTTTAAGCTACTGAGTTTTAGGATAACCTGTCACTCAGCAATAGGTAACTAATATAATACGTGACTGGATTTCTTGGGCGTTCATCACCCTTTGTTATTTGGTTTATGTGGCTAGGCATGAAGGTCCCTGAGTTCTATCGTCATAGATAAATCAATCAATTAACACTACGTTAATAAAATGTACGAAGCAGAGGTTAAGTTTAGTGATCTATCTATCTATCTATCTATATAAAACGTACAACTCCTGATTTGCATAATGTCAACCCTTTATAAGCTGTTCAGTAAGGGACTGAATGTAATTTTAGCGATGCAGAAATAATAGTGTGATACATGGAAAGGTAAAGTATCTCATGGCAGTGATGAATATTAGGAGTTGAGAGGGAGTGGCAGCCGACACTTTCTAGAGAGAAGGCCCTTCTGTTCAGTCCCAGGTGGTTTCTGTTACCATGTGAATTCTCATTGCATTACCTTGCATTACTTCATTTTATTTGTTTTATTTTCCTCTTTGCTTTATTTTATATAGTACTAAAAATTGACAAAGTTATGGCAAGACTAGAGGACCAGTTTGTAAGTGTAAGCATAATCTATACTTGAAGATGAAAACATCAAATATGAAAATACGTATTGCCTTTATTGTCCATGCATCTTATTTCGCTTACTTATCAGGGAAGATTATTTTGAATTATGATGTCTAAAAGGCATGAAAAATGTTTTTCACCTATAAACCTACAGGGGCAACAAAAATAGCGTTCAGGAGGAAAAGTTATTTATCGAAATGGAGGATTTACTCACAGTGAGACTGTTGAATCAGTTGAAAATTCATGTCACTTTGCCTAATGACCATTTGAGCAAAGTCTTAAAGTTGGAAGAAGGAAAGAAAAAGCCCAGTGTTCTCATTCAGAATAGGGTTACTTTTGGGTGGGTCATGTAGAAATTTAAATGTCAAAAATAAAAATAGGTTGTGGGACTACTAGAATAGATAGAAAAGCAATAGAAATATATGTGGAAATATTAATACATATAGAAAGATTACATAGCATAGAAAGTCATTATATGAATGAAACTAGATTACTTTGGAGAAAACATGTCAGCAAGAGCACACAGTTTCAAGAGTTAAAACCAACTCCAGGATTGAACATTTCCAAAGATATACTGGGGCTTGGGGCTAATGTAGTGGGAAACTGCAAATAGAAACTGTTGTCTATCACTGCGAAGATCCATGGGTAATGTACTTAGTTAGGTACATATGTTTTCTATGTACACCAACTTCTTGCTTTGCAAGGCCTTCTTGAAAAGGACAGTGATATAATTTGGGGAGTGTCTATATAATTGTAATCCTTTCCTTTGAGGAATTCATATTTGGCCATGAAGGACAGTGCACAAGTGAAGCACTTAGACCATGGAGCCAGGTTCATAGCATGGAGGGGTCCATCACTCTGAGCCGGGCTGGAAAGACCATCTTGCAGCCCTGTGGCCAAAGAATGAGGGGAAAAAACAACCCAGGTTTTATATATACTTTTGAAATAATTACTTCAACTTTATCAGGTAGAAGTTCTTTTTTTATTGTTAATTATCTGAGGAAAATGAATTATTTCAGGAAAATTCAGATAGAAATTCTTATCCTCATTTTACAGCTGAGGAAATCAAGGCACTGAGAAGTAAGTGATTTGTCCATGGTCATGTAGCTAGTGAACAATGGAGCTGAAATTAGAACCCTGGGGATATGAATTCAAAACCCATAAACTTAATCTCTCTGTCCTAGTCTTATCCCCATCCCTGTACAGATTCATCTTCCTGTTGGGGAGATTTTGTGGGTGTTCGTTGGTTGTGGCAAAGGAGAGAACTATTCACTGTGGAACTGGAATCATCTGCTTGTTTAATGTACATTGATACTGTCTTGCTAACGAGATCACAGCTGTCTTGAAATCATTGTCCCTTGAGTTTTTTTTCCTCTACCATTCTCCGATATATTTTAATGTAGAATATATGTATCCACCAAATCAATTACTTGGTTTCTGGATTACACGTGCATTCTGGTGTTCTTTTTCATTATTGCCTATTGAAGGTGCCATGCACTTACTAGTCCTGAAAGTTACTACTGAGCCAGTCAGGTTATATTTACAAGACTGTTTACAAGAACCCCAGGAGATTCAAAGCGTTTCTGCCCAAACATAAGGGGCTATTTTTTAGAACACTGGGGCACTCTTTAGAAATTTGAGAGCACATCTTTGGAGCCCCGCCATAAGTATTGTACAGAACTGATATTATACAGCAAAAATTTGTGGAATAAATAAATAAAATACTGAATATGGGAAAGTGTAGAAGTTCAAAACATGGAAGAAAACTTTATTTTTCTTCCAGTCTTAATTCTTGCACACAGGTGAGAACAGAGGCAGGAAAGAGAGAGGGAAGGGAAGTACGATATTTGCACCCAATGCTTGTTTAATAACTTTTTACTGAAATGCATTGAAGAATAAAAAAGAAGGATTTATTTTATCAGTTCAGCTAACAGTGATCAAGGTCTTACAATGTGTTAAATTCATATACCTGACATAGCACATTAACCCACTGGTTCTCAAATCTGCCTGCACGTTGGAATCGCCTGGGAAATTTAAAAATTATCGTTGCCTGGAGTCTACCTCCAAGGATTCTTATTTAATTGGTGTGGGGTGTGACGTGGACAAAACGTTTTTATAAAGTTCCTCAGGTGATTTTAATAAGTAGCAAACTTTGAGAAGCCCTGTGTTACTCCTTTCGTCCAGTGGTTGTCAAACGTTTTCTGTAAAAGGCCAGAGAGTAAATATTTTAGTCTTTGCTAGCCATAGGGTCTCTGTCACAACTACTCAGTCCTGCCATTGTAGCACTCACACAGCCATAGACAAAATGTTAAGTGTAGCTGTGTTCCTATAAAACTTTATTTATGGACACTGAAATTTGAGCGTCATAAAATTTTCACATGTCACAAAATAGTCTTGTTTTTAAAAATTTTTTTTTCTCAACGGTCTAAAAATACAGATTGAGGCATACAAAATCAGGCAGCTGGCTGGATTTGACTATCATTTGCAGGCTCCTGTTTTAATCCATTTAACTCCACAAAGGCACATGCAACTATTATTCTCATTTTTAATGGCTGAAGAAAGAGGCAAGATCTCAGGTCTGCTGGCGGTTGAGTCAGAATTTGACCATGATGCTAAACTACTCTTAGGAAGTATCAACATTTATCCCCAAAATCATAATTTTGGCTGTTCTTTGAGGTTAATTATGAGGCTAAGTGATGTGAGGGATGCACTCCTTCCAACCCCCATCATTTAAACAATAAATTGCCAATGAATTCAAATTAAACAATACCTCGTTTCACTAAAAAAAAAAATATTTTTAACCATTGTTCAACACTCTGCTTCCCACATTGCTGAGGTTTCCTGGCCTTTAATGTGTTCAATGAGGGATTTACTCAATTTAATTGAAGTTACAGTTTTTCCTTGTTCATCATGTACCGCCAAATCAAGCAAATAGTGTTAAAATATTATGGTCAATTATACATATAAATCTTGCAGAGAGTTAATGAACATATTTTCTAGATTGTGGAACAGCCTGGACACTTATCTTGCTCTTTAAGATAAAATACCACATCTATATAATGCATTGCTAAGCTTTCTTCAAACTACACACTTTGCCTAGAATCCCATTTTCCATTAAATAATAATCATTGTAATTAATAGACTGGTTATTTTATCTCCCTAATCTGGTTACAGTAATTTATCAAAGGCATGTAAATGAAAGCTAGAAAAGT